TCTATATATATATATACTGCAACAACTCTTTATGGTCCTAAAAAGGCTTCATTTTCTTAATGCAAAATAGTTATATTTTTCTTTTGATTTAGAGTGAAATATGACCCACACATGCAAATTAATATTAACAAGACACAAATGGGCTGTTTTATTAATTTTTTATTTTGTTGTTCTTAGAGTGTACTCTTGAGGCATTCACCTAATATCATCTGTACATTGTTTTATTTAACACGGTTTTATTTTTATTAACGTTGCAATTGCAGTTGTTTGTCGAGCAGAGTGCAGTAACATCTCACGTCTGTGTGTCACTAACATCATCGCATTTCAGTAACCTTAATAACTCTCGTCTTCATAAACTGAACCACCAAGATAATTAGTTTGCTCTTGCTAATAAAACTACAGGGAATGTTGATTAATTGTCAAACGCACTGCGCTTTTCTGTTGTGTGTCAGCTCTGTGTGCCACTGTTTGTCAAACTCAGCGCTGAATTTATGTTGGTTTAGCCTGACCACAGTATAACACCATATTATTGTTATTCCAGCTCTCCTCCTCCCTGCTATAAAATGTGTTTCTGTTTCTTCTGAAATCTCACTAACCCCATATTAACTGTGTTAGTTTTGGACGAGGCCTGGCGCCCACCTGCAGACCCGCCTGGGCTGCACTGCATTCTGGGTAGATCTTCTCGATTGTGTGTTTTAATAGTTCACTTGAGCCTTCATCAGGGAGCGGGAGTGTGTTTTGTCACGGATAGGATATAAAACACTGGGACGGGAAGTGTCCGCTTTGTTCTGAGATGAGATGCCAGCTGGTCTCTTTTTATCGGCACTTTGTGGCTGGCCAAAATTATTTTCCAAGTGTGAAAATAATCAGAGTACCAGAGTAATTGAAACATAAATCATAAAGAAGTTGGCTGTAATAAAATGCAGGCCAAGCGGTTTATTGCATTTAATTCAAACTAAGCAAATGGCTTTGTTTGCACAGGTGGGTAGCCTATACTTTTTTAAATAAAAAATTTAATTATTTTGATATAGTTTAATGTATTTATTGATATTTTTAAATATTTACTTTGTGTTTTTGTGTATGTTGTTAATATTTAATTTATATTTTGAATAATATTTGTTATATATAACAAATAATATATACTTATTTATATAGGCTAGTTAAAAATAATAATTATTATTTTAAGTTGTTGTATAATTTAGAATGATGTTTTTAACTATAATTAATTATAATTAATTGTATGTTTAATTAATTGTTTTATATTTTATATATATATATATATATATATATATATATATATATATATATATATATATACAGTGCTGTCAAAAGATTAATCGCATCCAAAATAAGTTTTTGATTGCATAATATGTGTTTTCTGTGTATATTTATGTATAAATATAAATACACACACACATACAGTATGTATTTTGAAAATATTAACATGTTTATTTACATGTCTATATTTAGATTCCTATAATTTATATTATAAATAAATATATTTAATATATAAACAAATTTGTTTCTGAAATATATACATGCATGTGTGTGTATTTATATATACATATTAAATATACACAGTACACATACATTTATTATGTAAACAAAAACTTTTATTTTGGATGCAATTAATCATTTGACAGCACTGATATATATATATAAATATATGTATATATATATATACCTGTATATATGTGTGTGTGTGTGTTTTATGTATATATGCAGGCAGTTAAAAAAATACTTGAATTTGATTTTTATTTTAACTTTTAATTAAAGGTTGTTCCTTATTTGGTCTATCTAGGATTGCTCAAACAAGAGAAACAGCATTCATGTAAAGGACAGAAGTTTTAGACGTCTTATAAGTGTGGTTTTC